CTTTACATAAGGTATATTGAGGGCACTTTTTACTTACTTAGTTGGCTGGCTGGCTTTTGAGCTGGGGCATTTTCATTCATCCGCACAACCTGGCCTAGGCACCGTAGTCGCTGCAGCTCAATACGACTGACTATGTTGATGTCCGCGTATAAATTGTAAAGCTCGTGGTTCATTCGACGCCGATATTCACCGTCGACGCAGATCGGCCCGTAGATCTTTCGGAGAAATTTTCTCTCAAACACCCCAAGAGCTTCCTCATCTGTTTGCGCAAGTACCCTGCTTATGATCCATATAATAGCACGGGTAGTATAAGCGTCTTGTAAAGTGTGAGTTTGGTCTGGCGGGAGGTGGCCTTGTTTCTAAACTGCTTACTTAGACCATAGTAGCATCTGTTGGCCAACACTATCCTTCTCCGAATTTCAAAACTGATGTCATTCGTTTTATTTATGGCGGTACCAAGGTATATAAAGTCTTTAACTTCCTCGAAGATGTAGTTCTCAAGTTCCACAGTTGGTCAGAGTCTACTGGACGTTTTGCGCGTTGATACCATCAGCTTGGTCTTCTCGCCGTTTACTGCCAGACCCACTTTGGCAGACTCCTGTTCAATTTATTCAAATGTGGATGTTACCGCTCGCAATGCTCGACACATTATATCGATGTCATCGGCGTAGGCGAGTAACTGGTGTTATTTGGTGTACAGAGTGCCATTTCTGTTCACCTTTGCGTCTCGAATGACCTTTTCCAGTAGGATGTTAAAAAGATCACACGACAAACTGTCACCTTGTCTGAATCCTCGTTCGGTATTGCAGGGCTCCGATAGGTCCTTTCCTACTTTAACTGCTGACCTTGTGCCACTTAAAGTTATCCTGCATAGCCGTATTAATTTTGCAGGAATGCCGAACGCAGACATGGCTTTAAACACCTCTGTACGGATAGGGCTATCGAATGCGGCTTTATAGTCGACAAATAGGTGGTATGTGTCGATGTGTTTTTCGTGGGTCTTTTCCAGAATTCGTCGCAGAGTGAAAATCTGGTCAATGGTGGATTTGCCAGGTCTGAAGCCGCATTGGTATGGTCCGATGATGTCATTGACCATTGGCTTCAATCGTTCACACAGCACACTGGATATCACTTTATATGCAATGGGAAGGAGACTTATTCCTCTATAGTTGGCACATATCGTCTTGTCTCCTTTTTTGTGCACGGGACACAGGATGCTGAGGTTCCAATCATTGGGCATGCATTCATCTAGCCAAATTCTGTTAATCATCTGGTGCATGCTCCTGACCAACATTTGGCCACCAGTCTTAAATACTTCGGCTGGTAACCCATCGGCTCCTGCTGCTTTGTTGCTCTGGAGTCGATTACTTGCTTTTATGGCCTCATCTTGACTAGGTGGTATACACTCTATACCGTCATCTCTTACTGGTTCTGTGTTATCTTCTTGACCGCCACTATTTGATACCAGAAGTTTTTCAAAATGCTCCTTCCAGAACCTCAACACGCTGTCTGTATCTGTCACCACGGTTCCTTCTTCATCTCGACAGGAGGATGTGCCTGCACTAAAGCCTTCGGTTTGGTGCTTTACTCGTTGGTAAAATTTCCGGACTTCATTCTGACTCCTGTACATCTCGATTTGCTCACGCTCACGTTTTTCTGTTCTTTCTTCTTTTTTCTGAAAATACGTTTCTCCTCTCTCCTTTTCTCCCGATAATTCCCCATCACGTTACGTGTTGCTACTGTCTGCAGGGTTGCCCTATACGCTGCGTTTTTCACATCAGTAGCATTACGAACCTCCTGATCGTACCATGGGTTTCTTGGTGGTGGTTTTTGGTACCCAATTGATCTTTTTGCTGCAGTTTGTAGGGAGTGGGCAATTCTTTGCCATTGTGCTTCTATACTATTATCAGGACAAGAAGTGCTTTCTTCAAGCAGATGAGTAAGTTGAGCGGAGTAGGCCTAGGCTACCTGTTGTGTTTGCAGCTTTTCGACGTCGAGTTTCCGTGTTGTATTAGATCGCACCTTTGCTGCAACATTAAGACGGGTGCGTACCTTGGCTGACACAAGGTAATGGTCCGAATCGATATTCGCTCCTCGGATCGATCGGACGTCTAAAACACTGGATGAATGCCTTCCGCCTATCACAACATGATCAATTTTATTTCTCGTTACTTGATCAGGAGAGATCCATGTGGCCTTGTGTATATCGAGATGCTTGAATCTGGTGCTGCTAACTACCATGTTTTTTTGCTGCCGCGAAGTCAATCAACCTCATGCCGTTCTCGGATGTTTCTTCATGAAGGTTGACCAAAGATATTTTCCCTTCCGATTTTTGCATTAAAATCTCCTAGCAGAATTTTAATGTCATGGCCAGGGCAACGGTTATATGCTGTTTCTAGGCGCTCGTAAAATATGTCCTTGGTCTGTTCATCCTTATCTTCGGTCGTAGCATGGGCGCAAATTAGACTGATGTAAAGAACTTCGCTTTTATACGGATGATAGCAATTCGCTCATCTACTGGAGTGAATCTGGAGACAAGGTCTTTTATTCTCCTGTTAACCATAAATCCGCAGTCAAATTCATGTCTCGTTTCATGGCAGCTATATTACATCGCATTTCCTGTAAGGTAATAATATCGGCTTTGTACTTCTTGAGTATATCCGCCAAAGCGAACACTGCGGCTGTTCTGTACAACGTGCGCAGTGTTCGCCTGTTCTGTACAACGGACCACGATTCGCAGATCGTGGTCCTTTATACGTTTGCGGGGGTCGTCAACATTAGGGGTGTTTGGTTTTCTTTTTCTTAGCTTTTTCATAGTAGGTTGGGTTTTCCGAGAGTGGGGAACTAACCCGACACCTCAACCCATGTTTTTATGGGTGAACTCGCGGCACATATTAGCTCACTATTTCATCGGGTAATGATAATAGCTCCCCAGGTGGCACCGCGGGGAGGTCAATGTCCACAATTGAGATGAAAAAGGGACCAAGATAAGCCTGGACTTCGCCATGTTAAACCCAATCAGAGCCGTTGCTTGGTATCTATCATCCATATTGAGGGCACCTTCGAAATGAAATTTTATACTTTACGATGCAGAAAGGTTGAAACGGTGCTAAACACCTTACCTTTTCACCAGAAATACAAAAATAGGTCAGTATGAAGAGCCCTTCTTCCAAAACAAAACGATAGCCACAATAAAAAAGTTGAGAATGTGGGAGTAAAAATATACAGAAAACTTAAATGAAAGGACCCCCTACAGCAACGAGTTGACAGGGCCCATAGATGCTGGCCATTCTGTAGAAGAACCATAGGCTCTGAATGAAGTTTCAGTCCTAAGATGGATCAATAAGAGTAGTATTAGACCAATTCTAACATACTCGTCTGCAATCTGGTGGGCAGCAATAGACAACAAATTTAACGTAAAAGCATTACAGAAAGTTCAAAGAACGTGTTGCCTAGACATATGTGGGACAATGCTGGTGTTGTCCGCATTGCTACGGGGTTTGGAGACAATATTGTATATACATCCAATAGATATGCAAATAAAGTATGAAGCGGTAATCGCAGCATTAAGACTCAAAACAATGGACGAGTGGATCCACAATCAATAACTTTGATTCAGACCGCATACCTGAAACGAGAGTAGTCACACTGTGCGAAACTATAATACCGGATAGAAAACAATGGAAAACAAGAAATAAGCAGACTGGCCTCAACTGACTTAGGTGTATGTCCATTTTTGTTGGACATGTAGTGGGGTTATCCACCCCTCTTTTCAAAAATAAAAACAACAAGATTTTTATTTTTAAAGTGGGTTATAGTCGCATAACAGCGATACCAAAAACATGTTAGAGGCGCCTTTCCCGAAAGTAATCAATGTGACCATAACCAACTTTAAAAATAAAAATCTTGTTGTTTTTATTTTTAAAACAACAAGAAAGTGATCAAGCTGGCTTACCTAAAAAAGTAAACACAAACAAATGCCAAACTGAATCTAGAGACGCATAACAGTGGAGTTATAGGACATGGTTACATATTCCGCCACAACATTTTCTGAGACTTCTTGAGACTTCTCAAATATAGCGTTCTCTAAAAGTACTTAGGCTTGACTTTGTGGATGTAACAAAATTGGGGAAGAAGGGTTCTTTTAGTGGAGTGCTACATGACTCTCTGGGACAATATCCTGTCTTTCTTGAAAGTAATATATGTGACCATAACCCACTTTAAAATAAAAATCTTATTGTTTTTATTTTTAAAACAACAAGAAAGGGATCAAGCTGGCTTACCTAAAAAAGTATACACACACATCCCTACAAACAAATGTCAAACTGAATCTGAAAAAATAACAATAATTGTAATCAGTTAGAAATCGACGTTTACTTTTTTCGTTAAATAATAAGACTTCACATAAAAATGGAGAGATCACTAAATATTCTTAACGGGCGAATCTATTGGTATACGACACTATAGGTGTCCAATGTCTCAAACATAAAGAGTTTTTCGTTCACATGTTCTGAAAAAACTGTTATTTTCGGTCCCAAAAAAAAATCTTAAGTGGCATACAACTCGAGTATACCTAGCAATGCATTCATTTATTGAAAAATTTTTTTGTCAAAGAACCATAATATTCAATGAGAAAAGCTACTATCCGAAACAATTGGATAGTAATATTACAATAATATTACAATATGGAAATTGTAATATTAAATAGGTATTTTCTTATAATTTATAAAAGCGCTGATTGTACCTTCAGAGAGAAAACACGAATACTCACATTAATTTTTAACAATACCTGTATATCAGAACCAAATTACTAATAACTACTTACGGTTACATCCATTCCTCCAACGACAAGTACTAACAACTCCAACATGCTTCTTCAGTTCAGTATTCATTCGACATTTCTCTTCATTTTCCACCTTTACATCCACAACAATTCCACGAAAATTGTTTGTTTTAAAAATATGCTGTACCAACCAACAAGTCTCTGTACTGAAATTCAGGAAATAATCGAACGAGAATTCAATGCGGCCATGTCCGAAAAAGCTGCTGCTGGACTCTCCAGTGCGGGAACCAGTTCAATGACAACACCACGCCCAGGTTCGCCACAGACAGAGTCTTTGCCAGGCACCGAATATCAACGTCAGCATTCGGGTGGTATCATCGCTTCGGCAGTTCAAAACCTAAGATCCAGATCGGTTAAACGCCGCAACGTCAAAGGTGACTCTGAGTGGAAAAGTCAAACTCAAATGTCAACCGAACAGGGACCTTGTGTTTATGAACACATTTACACTGAACCTGGTGGTGTAACAACATTCTCAGCCGTTCCCAGCATTAAAACCACTGCTGTGACCATTGAGACAGATATCACCGATGACGTTATTGAAATTCCCAAACTGAGACGCACACAATCAATGTCCACCAATACACCTCCCCTGGTGTACAAGGGCACGGATGCTGAGGATATTGGTGGTAGTGGCCAAGAACCAATACGAAAAGTTGAATTTGCACCAGAAACCAAACAATCAGTTACAACCTCCGAACCGGAACCAGTGCAACAGTTGGGAATGCCAATAAAACCTCCTCGTCGCAAATCATCTCGTTCTACCTCTCCAGCTGGCCGAATAGAGGATCCGTTGCAGGGACAAGCATCGGTGCCCATACCCGCCTACAATGTAAGTCTGCACAATGAGAATTGTTCTTCAAAATTTCGTTTGTTATGTGGCAACAATGTGATTGCTGATTGCCACGTGTGTATGTTTGCGTGTGTGTGTGGTAATCTCATGCAGCAGCAACAGCTATTACTACAGCATGTCACACATCCTTGTTCCATTTTTCATTCTGTTCTTTGTTCTTTCCGTGTGATTACGCTAAAAACTAATGAAGATATCCAACTGTTTAATTGTTCTTCCAAGCCACGCACAGTGGGAAAAAATACCGATCTAGCGCGCAGAAAATCAAAAAATGAAGTTGAAGGAAACTTTAAAACATTAATGCAGTTTTAAAGTAGAGTGTTGAGAGTACTTAAGTCCGTATAAAATAATCCGAATTAATAAGCTAGAACGGAATAACGGTACATTTAAAACAGAAAATTTTTCCAATGTTAAAAATGGCATTTTTTTGCTATAAAATTGCGATGGTCGTGTGCATTCTGTGAATATATTATTATAAAATTTTGTCCATTTTTGATATATAGTATTGGTATTTAATTAAATGGTATAGTTATATAACCCATAAGTTATTTTAATTTAGGTGTTTCGGGCTAAATATATGTAAGGCCCGTTTTTTTAATTCCTTCAATTAAAATAGGGGTTTAGTATGGAGTGCAGTCGAGTTCAGCTTTGATTTTTGTTTTATTTTTCTTGTGTGTCTGTCTAGAACATCATACTAAATTTTTTCCTGCGACTTCCTGCGATTCTCGGATTTATGACAATTTTTTGAAAAAATGCCAATTTTGTGTAGGAAGCTTTTTTAAGGTTTTGTTCAAATAAAATTAAAAATTTGTGAATTTTTTTGATATAATTCATCAAATATGACTTGGAATAGATCACAGCATAGCAGATAAGAAAAAAAAACAAGTTCAAAATGTCCATCCTAAGGTTCAAGAGTACTGGGTGTGAGTATGAAAATGAGGGATTTAAGTAAGCTGCTCCAAACGTTGATTTTAAACTCATGCACTGAATATACATTTATTCCAAATGTCTTTCTAAATGAAAATTAAAATTACAACGAAATCGGTTGTAAGAGTCTTTTAAAATACCGCAGGTAAAGGGTCCACTTTATGAACCATGGAAAAATATCATTGGTGTAACATTCATATATACACTGTTTTACCTATATTTATGATTTTCGTGGAGGTGGAGTTTATGGACTTTTATTATACCTGTTATGGGGTTTCCAATGACTGACATGACTTCGGATGACTTTATGACTTTGTCATGCGAATTTCGTTAGGGTCGGATACAGGTATCAGTTACGAATGAATGCAAAAATACATATTATTTATAGATTTTTCTACCTATGAATGAAAAATCCGCATTTAACAAATGTTCATTCATAGATTTTTCTCATTCAATAAGTGTCAAAGAACGGGATTATACAAGTTATAAACAAGTGAATAGCGATTTATTTTAGTTCTTAAACAAGTGAAGTGGAAAAATGTCAATTTTGTACAGAGAGCTCTTTGAAGTTTGGATAAAATCTAAACATGGTTCTGATGTAAAAGAATATATATTAAATAGACTTACTGAGGAAATATTTATTCTTTTCGTGGAATTATATTCTTGGTTCTATATGCCTTCAAGCATACACAAAATATTAGTGCATGGAGCTGATATAATCAAATGTGCAGCTTTGCCCATAGGAATGTTGTCTGAAGAAGCCATGGAATCCAGAAATAAGGACTTTCGGAACTACAGGGAACTGTACACCAGAAAAATTAGTCGGTGAGGAAACAATGAGGGATCTTTTTAATAGGTTGCTAT